TTAGGAAAAGACGATGGAAATGGATAGGACATACATTACGCAAATCGTCAAACTGCATCACGAGGCAAGCCCTAACTTGGAATCCTTAAGGGAAGCGGGAGAGAGGAAGGCCAAAGAACACATAACGTCGGCAATCGGAAGCAGATATGAAGAGGATGAATAACAACTGGAAAGAGCTGGGAAGGATTACCCAGAACAGGGTTGGATGGAGAATGCTGGTGAGCGGCCTATACTCCTCTACAAAGAGTAACAGGCGTAAGTAAGTATGATTGTGATCTGTTTTATAAGATTGAGTAAACAACTAGTCACTAACCTGTATTGGAATTCGTTCTAATAATTCTTGTCGAGGAATTTCTGACTGTTCTTTAGCTTTTTTGCGAGCAGATATTTGGTTTAGTTGATTAATTGTCTAGGAAAGAAAAGAAAACAAACAGTAGTTAACAAATTTCAACCAATATCAAAGTTACAATCTTCAATACGAACGTCAACACAGTTCTACTGTACGGAGCTGAAACTTGGAGAACTACTAAAACTATTACAATGCTGGTGAGCGGCCTATGCTCCTTCACGAGGAGTAACATTCGTAAGTAAATAATTGACAAGATTTACATAAACATTTTTGTTTAGTTTATTTATGATTATGAATATTGTTGTAATTAACAATCATCAATAGTAATATGTGATACCATCCTATAGTTAATCACATGTTCCTGGTGCTCGTATCCGAGCCAAATGTTTTGTGTTTATATTGGAACTATGCTAAATATGTATCTCAATAGGAATAAATACGGTTCATTTCAAACAAGCGAATAGATATGTATAATCTGATATGACAGCTAAACATTTCAATTCCAATATGATATGTATATCATAATCAATTCGCTTTATTAGAAAGTCTAATTGATTGATTATTTATAGCTAGACATATTGAATTTTTGTGGAAATCATAAACTGATTGTTAGACAATCATTGAATACCTGGAAGCATTGGATAACCACTTCTGTTCTAGTATAGGACCTCTCCGCAGTGCGTATCCACGAGATCGTACTCGGGACTCGATATATTGAGGTGTGTTGGTAATAAATTTGTTTTTCATCATGAATTATGTAGTTAACAAAATAACTTATAATTTCATATGTAATTTTAATAGTTGAGATCATGAGTCAATTGAAGCTTATTATTATTTATTTATATGAACACATAAATATTGGTACAAAAGGGGCACCAAATATATATGCGCCACACAAAACAATGAGAATTTAAGAGGAAGGAAAAAAAGAGAGAATGATAACGAAGAGATTGATTTAAGGTGCTGTTATAATAATCGTAAAAATGGGGGAACGGAAAGGTACAATCAGAAGAAATCTTTCAGTTAAGGGAGACACAACCACTATTTATGAAGAAAGTAAAAGAAGGTTACAGCAGGATCGCCACTGGCTTCTATTCTGAGCCATATCTGATGACGTCTCTAACCACTGTGTAGCACCATCTCTCGCACCCCAGCCGGTGAGTCGTGAAGGACCAACAGAAGCCAGTCCTTTGCAGCTTTCTTTCATACCACGACACCATGTCATATACTGACCACCTCCCCGATTTTTCTAATGAGTCCCAGAGTCGGCAAATAATGCACGACGTGAAATTCTCTGGGACGACATTCGTAGAACATGTCGAAGCCACCGAAGTCGGTGTTTCAAGATGGTGACACCAATTGAATTATCATCTCTGTGCCCGAACACACGATGCCGAACCTCTGCATTACTAACATGGTGTTGTCACTGGATGTCAGCAATCATTCCGAGACAAAGATGATCGAACACAGAGAGTCGTCTAACGTCCTCAACTCGGAGAGGCCAGGTTTCGCAAGCATAGAGCAAAACTGCTCTCACCGACGCGTTGTAGATCCGACGTTCTACAGCCAGACTGACATCACGAAGGCGCCAAAGATGGACAAGATTGGCATAAGCCACTCTGGCTTTCACTATACGTGCATTGATCTCATCACTCACACCCCCACCAGCACTTATGCAGCTACCCAGATACACGAACTTCTCAACTACGTCTATCTGCTCACCATCCAGGGTGAGTACAGGATTAGAATTCTAACGGTCTTGTAGAAGTACTTTGCACTTCGAAGGTGCAAAGCACATACTGTACATAAAGACATTGATTGCCGGCTGATTAAGTGCGGATTGCATGCCTCGGGCATTATCGCACAGTAAGAGAATATCATCCGCATACTCAGGGTCGAGAAGTCTTTCTCCAGGCAACAGATCCACACCACCATTACTTACATTCATCAGAGCTGTCTCCAGAATGTCGTCGATGGCGAAGTTGAAGAGGAGCGGTGAGAACGAAACCCAGCCTGCTCCTCGCCACTCAATCTTTCTCGGGTTTTGAACAACCTACGAAGTATGATGAAAGCCAATAGCTTGGACGCAATCGGAAGTAGACTTATCCCCTGAAAGTTTCTACAGGAACGACGTGAACCCTTTTAAAACGTAGAGACAACTATCGACTCATTCCATGACGTTGGTACACTCTCTAACACCCAAACCTTTGTAAACAACGTCGTCGATTCCTTAGTCAGAAAGTCACCACCATCTTTAAAAAGAGCTGGAGGTAAGTCATCTGGGCCAGGTGATTTGTAACGCTTCAAGAGTTGGAGTTCCTTGCGGACTTCCACCTTATTTGGTGGATCAATCGCCACCGGCCATGGAGGTCAGGACAGTCTGACCGATGTTGCCGGAGCAGCAGGCCAGTTGAACTGCCCTTCGAAAAATTCTGCCCATCGTCCAAGACGTCGATTGATCTTAGTGATTGGCATCCCATCATCCTCGCAGATTTTTTCGCTCACACCAGACTTCTTGCTGCCAGTGGCTCGGATGAGTTGGAAGAGCTTCCGGTAGTTACCATATGCAGCTGCTGCTTCCAGCTCATTAGCACGCATCGACCACCAGGCTTCTCGGTCCTTACGCAAGCTTTGCCCGATTTCCTTACGTAAAATCCTTCGTTTATGGTCAAACTCACGGTTACCCGGAGTAGACCGACGGGCTTCAATGAGTTGTAAGGAGCCTGAAGAAACCCTGTGCTTATAAGCGGGACGTTTCGCGAACCCACAACTGACTGTTCCCACCATTTTCATGGCGTCATGCAATTGCAACCAATGCTCATCTATGCTTTTCGGTGGAATGGTAGCTAGCCTAGAAGCTAGCTCGGTTCGATACTTACTTGCAACAGAAGTTGCAACCAGCTTGCTAACATCAATCCGTTGGTGGCCGTCACTTCGTTGTCCACTAAAAAGTAAGGTAAGATTGGCGCAGACCAAGGCATGGTCACAGTCCAGATACGTACTCCAAAAGGAGCGGCAATCTTGTACACAACCACACCAGCGGTAGATGATCGCGATGTGATCAATCTGAGTCCAGGCTTGAGATGCAGAGGGAAGACGCCAGGTAGGATATCGGCGATGACTGTGCCACCTAAACGACTCTCTTCTGTGCCTAGACGCCCGACCTGAGCATTCAAGTCTCCGGCTAGTACTACAATATCTGTCGAACGCACTTTCTGGAGAAGAACAGATAACTGGTGATAAAACTCATCCTTGATTGCATCCGGGCTGCAATCTGTCGGGGCATAGGCGGAGATGACGAAAAGACATCGTTTCTCACGCCGATTTCTTCTCACTTTGATGGAACTCTCTAATCTAACAGCACATAACCGTCCGTTAATGGGGATCCAATCGACTAATGCTGCCTCAGCTCTAGCGCTTAGTGCGACACCAACGCCAGCAAGACCAGACGAAGACGCCACATGGTCCCCAGATAAACGCACGCAAAACAAGCTTTTGAAGCGACAGTTGGTGAGCGAATTTGTAGTACTTCACCAGAGTCTTGAATACGGGTCTCAGATAGACAGCAAACATCAATATTAAGACTTTCCAAAGACATAGCCATCCCTATCTGTTGTCCAACCTGTATAAGTGTGCGAGCGTTGACGGCAGCCAGTTTGAATGGTGCAAGTGGTTTCAGAAAATCTTCTTCAGTACTCAGCTAGTGAGAAGCAATGACCAGTAGAGTTCAATCGGGTCTGTTGTGAGATAGTTACTTACTGATGACAATTTCGTGGATTGGTTGAATTTAGGCATTAACACCGTTGGATGCCGGCTCAGTGATCTAGTGGTTAGACGCTTGCGTGCCAGACTGATAGGTATTGGACTGTTATATGGCAAGGCGAGATCATGAATTCACACTGCTGAGAAATCCCACAACAAGCCATCTGGTGCTTTCGAGTTTTCCATGGTGGTCTAGCTTCAATTGATTCATAATCTCAACTATTAAAATGACTAAAATCCCTACAAGGCCCCTTCTGATATATATATTTTTTGTGACAATATTATTCTTAAGATAATAGAATGCTGACATGAAGATTTTCATCATGGTGCCATTATTAGGAAATACAAAACAGTATAGAATCATTAGTATGTCACAAATACAAAAAGAATTAAAAAACAACCCAGTTTACTCTCTGTTCAATTCGACTAGCGGCTTCATTAATTTTTTGTTGACGGCTTAGTTGTTCCATTTCTGTTTGAATCTTCAATTGATGGAGGGTAGTTAATTTCTTGGCCATTTTCTCTTGTTTATACATAGAGATTTTACGTTGAATTTTCGCCTTGAATAATAACAAATACACAAAATATATGTTAGCGTTTTCTTAGCGAGTTAGTTTTCTACGGGATGAGTTCGGTAACCCCATACCCAACCCTCCTTCTTTATCCGGGTCTGGGACCGGCAGTAGCTCCAGAGGAGCTTCAGGAGGAGGAAGATCAAAGAATACATTACGCCGAGAAATGGAGACAGACATGAGAAAAATGGGACTGGCAGTGGCCCCAGAGGAGCTCCATGCGGAGGAAAACCAAAGAATACATTACGCCGAGAAATGGAGACAGACATGAGAAAAATGAACAACAATTGGATAGAACTAGAAAGGAAGGCCCAGGACAGAATGGGTTGGAGAATGCTGGTGGGCGGCCTATACCCTATTGACAGTAACAGGCATAAGTAAGTAGGTATGCATAATGTTTGGCATAAAATAGGAAAAAACACGACAACACTGTCACTGGAATTGAACTTCAACATTGAATGTATGTAAATGGACATGATAAAAAAGTATTGATCGGTTTGAATTGAGGATATAACAAATCAATACAACATGACTCGCTCTTGATTGTATCGATTGTTTCGAACCTTAAACTTTTTGTTTTCCAATTATGAACTTAAATTTGTTTTAATTAACTGACTCTACAATGTTGACTGTTAAGTATACTGATTTAATATTTCACAATCTATGGATAATGGTATGGTTGATCTTTTTTTCTAAACTCGATTTAATTAAGTTGAGTAGAACTTTAGCTCTTTGAAGTTTTAAGATGACAGTCTGATCACTAAGGTACCAGTAAGTTGAAAAATATGGAAATTTAAGTCAGATATCACAGATGTACTCCCTATTCCATTGAATTGTGATTTCAGTAAGCTGTTTCCTTTAACAACAACAAAAAAAACACCAGCATATGTAGCAATGATAACTTTTAAAAAACGAAAGTAGATGGTTAGGAAATCTCCGGCATGAAAATAGTGGATTTCCAGTGCTTTCAGCAATGCTGGAAAATTACAAAGTCAATGGATCAAAAACTCCTCTGTTCATCAATAAACAGTTTTATTTCACATTATGATGTATTATTCTCAGGTTATCATAGCCTACACTTAATTGTTATACAGTATGACTTATTTGGAAATGACACGTTCCTAAATACCTCTTACAACACTCAGATGGACTGCAATTGATCAGTCTCTTTTTGGCATATGTGCATTCTGTGCGGACTGCTTCGATATTGCCCGGAGTTACAAGCTTTATAAGCAAAGATGGATAGTGGAAAGATATAATTAAACAACACCATGTGAATATAACTTCACCCTATTGCAAAAACAGATGGCTATCAGGACTCAGGAGCTAAATGAATGATGTGACGGAGTTTGAAGCGAACGATACTGTGTTTGATTCGCAGAGTGAACATCAACTCTCAGATGCAGGTACATCCAGTTGACGAGTCTCAAATAGGACGAAACACGCGTCTTGGATTCTACTATTCATCTTTACTTAGAAATACCTCAGTTTTTGAGTATTATTTCCCATTGATATACACTAAAGAAATAATACCCATGTTCCTTCTGTTATCATCCATTATAGTCCATTAAAGCTAGTAAAATAACTTCAAAGCAATCATGAATGAACTATACCTGTCTTTTTCGTTTCAATTCTAATTCAGCTTGTTTTGATTGATTTTCAATTTTTTTCTTTAATAATTCTTCTTGTTTCCTCATTTCTTCTCTTTGATTACGCCATTGTTCTAATTTAGCTTTTCTAGCTTCTAATTGACTGATTGATAAATGTTGTTTAATATAAGATTGATGATTTGGTCCCATTGTGTCATCATCATTATCATTATTATCATCATTTTTCTCTTTACATTGTTTTCTATTTTGCATATTTAAACGCTGAAAAACAAAAGGTTTTAAATTATTCAAGTATGTAATTTGATTGATATTGAATGATTCTTATAAAACTACATCTGACACAACTGAAATCTACGGATTGAGGCTTTTCACTAGAACGATGATCGTGACATTGAGAGAATTCCCTCTTGAAACTATTCACTAGTGAGCACAGTACTGACAATCATCACATACCCAAGAGGAGATTTATAGAGTTCTAGTGAGAAGCTGCAACCAGTTGAATTCAACCGTATCAGGTGTAAGTCAGTTATCCAAGCGAAGACAATAAAAGATGACCACGCAGTAAGACATTAAATTTAATCAATGTTAGCTAATTAATCTAGCGATTAAAAGCACTCATAGGTTCCGGGTTCGAGTCTCGAGTGTGGGATCGTAAATGTACACTGCTGAGATGTTTCATACTAGGACGAATCGGCTGACCAATACTTCCAGGTTTTCAATGGTGGACTAATATTGATCAGTAAATGATTTCAATAAAATTGAACAATCACCAAAAGCGTACACTGACAAAAATTAATAGTTCTTTTCACTAGATATCCGTACTGAAATGGATTTCTGACTTTCAATGAAAATCATCCGTATGAAAGGAGTCATTAATGCTTTGCAAATATATTCGCGTCTTATCATTAATTAATTGAAGTTAGTTCTGTCAGCTTGTGAACAAGGGTCATCCAATCAAAACAGATACAACTTTTAAAGTCATCCAAAAGGTAAGTAGAAAATTACCAGAGATGGTGAGCTTCTGATTGACGAAGCTTTTCCCATATATTTAGATAAGTCAGAACTACGTATGTAAAGTAAAGCCATTTAACTTCTACCATGATCTGAACCTTCAATTTTTCAGTTATACTTTTATTTTGACTCCTTCTTTGTTGATCATTTACTTGACTTCTTTCGAAGTAAATGTCACCTCTATTTCAACAATATAACTTATCAGATCATGTAAAACATCTTCTCGATAAAAATTTCAGTTCTCAATAAGTGCATTTTCAGTTTCTTAAAAGAGAACACCATTTCTATGTTTCTGTTAGTTTTTCCTATGTTACTACATTCAGAAAAAGAACACACACCAAGTAGTAATCAAATCACATTTTGATGGAGAAGTTTTGGAAGAGGTGAAAAGTTCTACACACTTGAACAGTATCAGACTAGTGAGCAAGGCGCTCACTCCATAATAGGCAGAAGTATATCTTATCTAACTGGGATAATCATATATTAGTTATGAATACAGTGGTCTTGAGTGCTGTTAGAGGTATGAGGGCGGTTGTCACTTCCCGGTTGCCCACACCGTGGAAGGGTTCTTCTGGAAGTTCCTGAAAAGGAAATCGGATTAGAGGTGGTCTTAGTGACCTGGGAGCGTGACCGCAATGCCCAACGGACAACTGCTTGAGGTCGGTCACACACGACCTTTTTATGGGTAATTTTTATGTTAGCTCCGTACTTTTTGAAACCTTACCACAGGAGACGGATAAGGCGAGATGTGCATTTTTAGGGTCGACATTTTCTAACCCCACCCCTCCTTGTAGGAAGGCAGCATCGCTGTTATGCTGGTTGTCTGGAGGAAACACTTTACTGCCTTCAAACCTCTGTACAGTCAGCAGTACTAATTCACCCTCAGACCTAAGGTTTGTTGCTTTTAGTCTTACCGCTCTTCAACCGACCTGTCTGGCATGGTAGGACCTTGAGGAGCGATTGTTCCAGCCAGTATAGCTCGGTTACTTTATCATATACTACTCAAATGCATCTTTAAATATTATTTGTTCAATTATTTTTTCTCAATAGTTCACATGCGAAAAATCAGTGAAATGATACTTTATCACACTTTTTGTTTCAATCATCTAGGCAACAGAAAAACTTCTTTATCCAAAATTTGCTTTTCTTAAAAATAAATCAATAAAACTCGAAAAAAGAAAAAGAAAAGCGAGCAATGATTATATGACAGTGTTCATTAAAACGTTACATTTTTACTCCTTTTGTTCTATGTTCAATTATTGATTAATTGTCAATGGAATTTTGATGATAGTTGGTTATTGAATAAATGAAATAGTTATCTATGATAAGTTAGTTAACTTTTGTTTCTTTTTCTCAACGTATTACTTATGCCTGAATATCGATTATCGCGACGCGCAATGTTGACTAGTGTTGGAGACAGATGGAAGAAAGTTAGGCGTGGTCAAGCCAAAACATGGCATCAGTCCACAAAGTCACTAACTTCTTGTCTGAGCCATGTTGGTAGATGCAGACTACTTGGTTGGGGTCTGCGTGACTATCGTAACCATTGGTTAGAGGACTCTGTGTAACATGACTCAGAACCAATCACAATGGTGTAGGTGTCTGTCAGTCTGTCAGCTACAACGTAGTACCAGGCACATATATACATCGGTCCAAGTTGCCATACCTCATTAACAACAACAATATGAACACCAGATTCATAGAAGTAGTTAACTCAATGGTGATAATATATAAAGGAAAGATTGCATATAAGGATACAGTACAGGAAGAAAGAATTAGTTCGTAGAAAGAAAGATATGAAGTGATTTTAGTCTCTTAGTTTAAGGGAAGACAGGGAGTGTATGCACCGACGCCATTCTGATCGATTCTGAGCCATGCCACCAAGAGTCTCCAACCATCGGTTACGATAGTCACGTGGACCCCAAATAAGTAGTCTGCATCTACCAACATGGCTCAGACTAGAGGTTAGTTACTTCAAGCACTGGCCGCCCCTAACTTTTTTCCAACCATCTCCAGCACCGGTTAGCATTGCACGATGTGGTAATCGGTGTTCAGGCATACGTAACACGTGGCCCAACCATCTCAGTCGATAAGGATTCACAACCCCATCAACTGATTTACCATCCTCATTTCCTAATACTCTACGTCGAACCTCACTATTACATACCCGGTGATCCCAGTAGATACGATCAATATTTCTAAGGTATCTGTGATCAAATACTAGTAGCTTACGGGTGTTTTCTACTCTTAAAGGCCATGTTTCGCTGCCGTAAAGTAAAACAGAACGGACTGTCGCGCAGTATACTCGTCCTTTTATTGATAGACGGATATCTCGCCTTCGCCATAGGTGACGCAAGTTGGCAAAAGCCAATCGAGCTTTTCGAATCTGTGCTGAGATTTCGTCAGACACCAACCCATCAGGGCTGATCAGACTGGTGTAGGTGTATACACTCCCTGTCTTCCTTTAAACTGTGAAATTAAAATTACGTCATACACTTCTTCCTTTGAACTAATTCTTTCTCCCTGTATTAGATGCTTATATACACTCTTTTACATATAATACTGTCGTTGAAGTAACTGCTTCTATGAATTTGGTGTTCATCATGTTGTTTTAATGAAGTATGACAACTTGGACCGATGCATATATGTGCCTGTTCGTACATTATAGCTGACTGGCTGACTGTTTTTCTCAATACAAAGAGTTTGATGTACGTTTGTTAGTGCTATAGAAATGCCTGATATCATAGTTTTGAAAAAAATTTCAATGAAAAGATAATTTCATGAGTTATGATGTCATTAAGGTAAAGAATAAATTTTTGAGTAAATGGAATACATAATTTGAAATATAGTCAAATATAAGATTTGGATGGTGATTAGCTAAGAAGGTCAAGATTTAATGATGCCCGATTATTCTTAAATCATATGCAAATCACATGAATGAACTTGGATTTTTTAACATTTTTCGAACTGATATCACGAATAAATTTTATATCTGTTGAAACTACTTAATATTTATAAGTAATATAAAATATTACTACTAATTAAATTCACTTGGTATTGTTTGTTTGAATTTTCGGATTGATATTTAGGACTGCAGTTGATCAGTCACTTATTGGCATATGTGTATCCTGCGTGTATTACTTCGATATTGCAAATATGGATAGTGGATAACAGTGGAATCCAGGAAGTACATTCCGTTCTATGAGGACTCAGTAGCTGAGTGGATAACTCGATGGAGTTTAAAGCGAACGATACCGGGTTCGAGTCCCAAAGTGAACATTAACTCCGAGATGCAGGTACATCCAGCTAATGAGTCCCGAATAGATTTGATTTCATATCTGCTGAAAATACTTACTGTCACTAAGTAACATAAAATGGTACTACTAATTGTTTCGATTTGGTGTACTGTCCCGACAATAAAAAATAAACCATGCTTGGAATAGTAAAATCATTGTGATTAAGCAGCCTTTGAAGTTTGAGAAAGATATGTCATCAAAACATAAAGAAGGACTGATTCTTTTTCCTTAAAAAAATTACTCTTTTTTTCGAATAACATTCATAGACGATTAATTCACCTAATCGGTACCATATAGTGTATTCTGAGTATTAAGATGTAACTCCGCCAGGAGTCACTCCGGGGGCTACTGCCAGTCCCAAGCCCGGATAAAGGAGGAGGGTTGGGCATGGGGTTAGCGACCCCATCCCGTAGAAAACTAACTCGCTAAAAAACGCCAACCAGAAAAAGTTATTCAAACCTTTTAAACTGTGCCCTGGGAGTCAGAAGGTCTTCATTTAGAAGAACTATGACGCCTCATGATGAAAGCCGAGCTCCTTTGAAAGCCACGAAGTTGATGCTCCTTCTGACAACCAGAGCAATCATTTATTTAGGTACATGGAATGCTCGTACAATCTGGAAGACCGCGAGAGTCTCCCAAATTGCTGCAGAAATGAGAAGATACAACCTAGAGGTGCTTGGGATCAGTGAAACACAATGGACACAAGTTGGACAACAACGACTAACTTCAGGAGAGCTTCTGTTATACTCTGGCCATGAAGAAGAAAATACACCACATACACAAGGAGTTGCATTGATGCTGTCCAAACAAGCACAAAGTGCACTTATAGGATGGGAATCTCATGGACCAAGGATCATCAAAGCCTCGTTCAAAACAAAGAAAGAGAGCATTACAATGAACGTCATCCAATGCTATGCGCTGGATAAGATTCAAGAAAGGAGGAACAAGAAGGCAGCAATCAATACCAGCCGAACAAGAGCAGTAAAAGCCAAGGCACAAGCTGAATACACAGAAGTAAACAAACAAGTGAAGAGGAGCATCAGAACTGACAAACGTAAATATGTGGAAGATTTAGCAACGACGGTGGAAAAGGCTGCAAGAAAGGGAAAAATGAGACAACTGTATGACACGACAAAGAAACTCTATGGAAATCACCGCAAACCAGAACGACCAGTGAAAAGCAAAGAAGGCGAGGTAATCACCAACATTGAAGAGCAACAAAACAGGTGGGTAGAACACTTCAAAGAACTCTTGAATCGACCAGCTCCACTGAACCCACCCAACATCGAAGCAGCACCCACGGACCACCCAATCAATGTTGGCCCACCAACAATTGAAGAAATCAGCATGGCCATCAGACAATCAAGAGTGGCAAAGCAGCAGGACCAAACAACATTTCAGCAGAGGCACTGAAAGCAGACGTAGCGGTAACTGCAAGGATACTCCACATTCTCTTCAATAATATTTGGGGTGAGGAACAAGTACCAAAAGACTGGAAAGAAGGACCTCTGGTCAAAATACCAAAGAAAGGCGATCTCAGCAAGTGTGGTAACTACAGGGGCATCACTCTTCTCTCAATACCGGGAAAAGTCTTCAACAGAGTATTGTTAAACAGGATGAAGGACTGCGTAGACGTCCAACTTCGTGACCAACAGGCAGGATTCCCGAAGGATAGATCGTGTACAGACCAAATCGCAACTCTACGGATCATTGTGAAACAATCAATTGAATGGAATTCATCGCTCTACATCAACTTCATTGACTACGAAAAGGCATTTGATAGGGTGGACAGAACAACACTATGGAAACTTCTTCGACACTACGGCGTGCCTCAGAAGATAGTCAATATCATACAAAACTCATATGATGGATTACACTGCAAAATCGTGCATGGAGGACAGTTGACAAAGTCGTTCGAAGTGAAGACCGGTGTTAGGCAAGGATGCTTACTCTCACCCTTTCTCTTTCTCCTGGTGATCGACTGGATCATGAAGACGTCAACGTCTGAAGGAAAGCGCGGGATACAATGGACATCTAATATGCAGTTGGATGATCTAGACTTCGCAGACGATCTGGCCCTTCTATCCCAAACGCAACAACAGATGCAGGAGAAGACGAACAGTGTGGCAGCAGCCTCAGCAGCAATAGGTCTCAATATTCACAAAGGGAAAAGCAGGATTCTCCGATACAACACAGAATGCACCAATCCAATCACAATTGACGGAGAAGATTTGGAAGATGTAAAAACCTTTACGTATTTGGGCAGCATCATTGATGAACAGGGTTGATCTGATGCAGATGTGAAGGCGCGGATCGGCAAAGCAAGTGCAGCATATTTACAACTGAGGAACATCTGGAACTCAAAGCAACTGTCAACCAACACCAAGGTCAGGATTTTCAATACAAATGTCAAGACAGTTCTACTGTATGGGGCGGAAACCTGGAGAACTACAAAAGCCATCATCCAGGAAATACAGGTGTTTATTAACAATTGTCTACGCAAAATACTTCAGATCCATTGGCCGGACACTATTAGCAACAACGTACTGTGGGAGAGAACAAACCAGATCCCAGCGGAGAAAGAAATCAGGGAGAAGCGCTGGAAGTGGATAGGACACACATTGAGGAAAGCACCCAACTGCGTCACAAGACAAGCCCTCACATAGAATCCTCAAGGCCAAAGGAAAAGAGGAAGACCAAAGAACACATTACGCCGAGAAATGGAGATAGACATGAGAAAAATGAACAAGAATTGGATGGAACTAGAAAAGAAGGCCCAGGACAGAGTGGGTTGGAGAATGCTGGTCAGCGGCCTATGCTCCATTGGGAGTAACAGGCGTTAGTAAGTAAGTAAGTAAGTAGGAGTATTAAGATGTAGTTTATAAACTCCTGTCAAAACGTTATACGCGTAAAACTAATTTACACCATCCTAAAATTTAGAACATCATTTGTGTACACAGTGTCGTGTGTGAAGTTCATCTCTTTATCAAGGTCTTAAGAATGGTTATATTTTGAACTTAAAGTCAGTCAATAACAACGTAGAACTTCGTACGTACGTACATCAGTTCGAGTTTCCACACCACATTAGCACAGAGATGCAATTGTCGATTCGAATCCTGTAGTGGTAGAGGCAGTAAGACTATAAGCAGTAATCGGATCGTGTTTACTTCGACTTAGTGATTAATATTCATCTCCAATGACTATGGTTTCAACTTTTGCTCTAGGATATGTACATGAATACTGTAGCCTATTGTTTAGATATTTCACAAGAGTTTATAAATCTTTTCTTTCAAAAAATTTCAAGTCATGAACCAATTCATTCTAATAAAAATTCCAATTCGAATAGAGTAAAAACAAAGATTAGTATAGAATATATAAATGGTTCCATTCTCTTTCGTTAGGTTCATATCAATTGCTTAGAGCTTATTTTATTCTAAAATTAAAGTTATCACAGGTATGGACATACTACTAAATACGAAAGTGATTGGAAATGAATGTGTGTAACATGCTATAGCATTCACATGTATTTGCCAAAATGATTAGATTGATAGAATAGAAGTATGATTAGCTAACTTTGTACGGTATATATACATATATATCAACAGTTGAAATCATGAGTCAATTGAGGCTAAACCACCATGGAAAATCTGGAAGCACTGGACGGCCGTTTCGTCCTATTGTGGGGCTTCTCAGCAGTATGCATCCACAACTCTGCCTCGCGAGATTCGAACCCAGGATCCACCAGTCTCGCGCTTAACCAATTAGACCACTGAGCCGGCATCCATTGGCGTTAATGTCCAAGTTCAACTAATCCACGAAATTGAGCGACACATCCACCATTGTCATCAGTGAGTTACTATCGTATAAAAGACCTGGTCGAACTCTACTGATCACTGCTTCTCACTAGAACTCCAGGATATACCTCTTGAAGCCAGTCACTAGTGAGCATATGTTAATTCGTATCAGATCTCATGATCTCAATTGTTGAAATGACTACAATCTCTACAGAACCTCTTCTGATATATATACATATATATAATAAATCACTAAATATAATGACATTTTTTATAAATCATACCCTATTTTCACTCCATATTTTAATTGCTTTACGTTTAGCATTTTCAAGTTTTTGAAATTCTTTCCACCATTTTTCATGTTCAACTATTTCATTTGATGTTTTAGTCATGATTATATTTGCAAGTTCATCATGTAATACATTCATATTCACATTAGTATTATCTTTATTTATTTTATCTAAATTTTCATCTTTTATTATTTGTTGTTCATGATGATGTATTGTCAATGTAGACAATTCGTTTTCTTCTTTTTCTTCTTCTTCTTCTTCATGATGATGATGATCATGATGATCATGATCATGATTATTGAAATCGTCTATTTGAGGATCTTTACATTCATTTTTATATTTAAATTTCTTAATTTTATAATATTTTAAAAATTTTAAATGTTCATCTTCAGTCCAACCACCAGTTCGTCCACCATGATTATCTAAAAAGTTCTATAATTCAAAAAGAAATTTAATATCCAAATATTTTACTACATAGATTGACATCTATTGATGTTTTAAATGAATAATGAATACTTTTTAATCATAAAAATGAAACAAAAAAAAGAATCACAGGAACTGTCATGTAATGAATAACAACTAGAAAGAATTGGAAAGGATTGCTTAGGACAGGGTTGAATGGAGAGTTCTGGTGCGCAGCCTATACTCCTTCACGAAGAGTAACAGACGTAAGTAAGTAAGTAAGTCCTCTATACATTTGATATAAGCATAAACTGAAGAACTATTCAGATGGGTTAAGCATTTGAATAAGGTTTAGATTCCGTGATATTATACTTTTTTTATTTGACGAACTTATATATATATACTCCTGAATGAGTGGAGTTTTAAATGCCTCCTGTAATCGTACGACAGTACTGGCTAAGTATGAGAGGATAAACTATGTTCGTATTATATACAAACTAAATCATTAATATGGTCAAAAGAACAAAATTATCAGGAAACGATTTTTCTGTGATGGGTAAACTTTAATCGAGCATCAGTTAAAAGCTTATGTGTATTAGTATCATTGTACTGTCTCAAGAATTAAGTATTTAACAGTATGTACCATCGATTTCGTAATGTACTAATAGTGAGTATTTTGCTGTACAAAAATCCAATGACTCATATTCTTTTTACATTTATTTAACAGAAGAGGTAATGTTGTCATCTCAGAATGCAACCATATTCTTAAATGCCGAACTGCATTATCACAAGTTATTATTATTATTATTATTATAACCATTATTATCAATGGCTTTATTCAGCAGGTTAGACATTGACACCGTTGAATGCCGGCCATTTCAGTGATCTATAGGTTAAGCGTTCGCGCACGAGACTGAACGCCCTGTGTTAGAATCCCAGGGGCGGGATTGTGAGTGCGCACTGCTAAGAAGTTTCACAACAGGACGAAACGGTGGTCATGAGTTTATTCAATGCTATGTGTTTAGTACAATATAGAATTATCAGTACAAAGTATTTCAACAAGCTTCTTCTACAAAACATAAATAAAAAAATATAAAACTACATATGTACACACATAAATGAAGCTAATGAACTACCTGAAGTTAAATGCTTTTAATAAGATTGGAATCTATACAACTTTTAATTGGGAACATGTTTAAGAATACAAATTATTGATTAGATCACTTCTAACAACCTATTCAACACATGGTATATATTCACAAGATAAAGTGTTATAGCCCTTTATATTTTTGCTTGTGTGTATGAATTCTAATGTATTGACGTCTCGTTCTACCAGAAGATTTACAAAACTAGCGATGTAAACGAAGTAGATGGATAGTGTAGGATTAGATCACACTTGTCAGGAGTTCGTAAGATTTATGTCTATATACAACCACATTATTAATGACTTCAAAAGTTTCATCACACACCTTATAGACTTTTTTCAAAACTCTGTAAGAAACACCAAGATTTTTTGCTCAATAGCTCGAATGAACATAATGGAGAACAATAAAGAATAATAAGTAATATGCAAGAATTAACAAATCACAACATTAAATGTCGAGTAATGCTGAAAGCATGCAGCCTCTTTGTATCAAAAGTCGGATGAAAAACTTCCCTCGATAATAATAGAAGAGTGAGAAGACCAAAAGAGACCAGAGGACACACCTATACCGAGATAAATGACCTTAGACACTGTTTTTATTGCAGAATCTTCAGTAGTACAAACTTTATGAAGTTCCAAAAAAGTGTTTAAGTGTAATTCATGTCTCGGGCTGTAATTGAAATTTTAAAATTTAGAAAGGCTGAGTATGAGAAATTTAACAGCAAACCATCGTTCAAAAAGACACCAAAATGATTCATTTTAAAGGGATATATAAGGAAGTAAGAAGTGAGATAATTCTCATATTTAACAAGTGTTTTCTGTGGAAAATGACAGAACATGCAAGAAAAAAGATGGCGGAAAAGGGGAAAGAACAACTCTTTGTGACACATCTTCTTGAATCGGTAGAGACGTTGTACACTTTCCTCCAAACACAATGTACTATTCTCTTCCAGAAAAGTAAGAACATAGGCAGTTAGTTGCCCAGCTGTCTGTGTAGACGCCGATTAACTTTTTAAGCAGTAGTTGTCTTGGAATAGAGTTCAATGTAGAAGTATAATTTTGAAATGCTCATCAAAAGTAATTCCCACCCTTATCCAAACTGTACACTGTATTATGATGCAGAACAGTGACAACACATATATCATGGATTATTGGGTTTTTTTAAAACTACAAAAACATATGATACAGGATTACCAGCTAGGCTGGATTTAATCCATGATAGAAGAATGAGTGCCCTCAAAATGTTTTATTCTCTTTACAGCTGACGATGTGGAACGGTATATTTTTTATTTTCAATTTGCTGAAATATACTTACTTGAAATTCGTTTACTTCAGCTGGTAAGTTTTTACTTCCAATACTTAAACGTGTCAACGAATTAATTGAATGTTCTCTATTTTGAATTTTTGAATTAATTTTATCTGGCCACTTTGAATCATTCTCCCAAACATTTATTCGATGCTCCATATTTAAACAATCTTGCCATAATTCAACTTCTTGTTGAAGTAATGCTTCAGCACTAATAATCAGAAAAAGAGTTTTAAAAATACAAAAAGTAACCATTTAAGAGCATTTTTTAAATGTTCATAAAAGTTATAACGAGGTCAAGATGTTTATCAATGTATAATATCGATATGATATTGTTATGCAATACATGAATAGAACTGCAAAGTTTCAACCTCGGTTTATGTTTCCTTTAACATTTCAGTCAAACTAATTCGAGATATTTCAAGAACCTATACTTTATCCAAACTGTATGCTAAAATCAATCAGCGTAATGAGTAAAAGCATTATAATGGAGTTCATTCACTTGTTAGTAATTATTTGTTGCAAAACTAGATAACATGAACGAAATCTCCAACAAATAGCTTCTAAATACCAGTTGTCTAAGAAATAATGAGTGAAATCTGTGGAATAACCTGTTCAGTGTACGAACTGGCAATAAAGTAAAACCTACTTAAGATTAGTATACAAAAATAGCTATCAAAACATATTTTATTCAGCTCTGTAAGGTAGACAATAGATGTTTGATGTTTTCAGACAAAAAACACAATTCTTAATTTGCTCAATATACTTTTGTTTAAGTTTTAATTTTTAAATTAATGAACCGTGTTTAGATTTGTGGATTCCATACCATAATCAAAATACTGAGCCTCATAAAAGACTTAAAAAAACACGCAAAGTCAAGTGACTTACATCATTCTCTCTTCTGTTTTGTATTCTGTTAGAATTTCCTCAATACTTTTCAGTAGATTTTGTAACTCTTTTACACCTATAAAGAGTATCACAACATATTGTAATGTTACATACAATTCCCATGATTTAATTGTTTATTTACAATTTGTGATTTTTTTGAACTGAACAATTCGACCAATGTACGAAATTTGAACAGTTTTTGATGATATTTTTTGCCTAAACATATGTAAGGAGATTATATATATTTGTTACTTAACAGAAGCTCAATCAAACCACATACCATCAGTCAGGAGAATTGATTTTAACTCTTGAGAATATTCTAAAATAGATTTAAGTTCTTTATGATGTAAAGATAATTTGCTCAACAATTGGAAAGAATTTTTATAGAACTTTTTTGATCTTTAAAAGAATCAAAAAGAAAAAATATACAGTAGGGTTAACAATTTTAATTACTTACTGATAGTCTAGTAGGCGTAGATCAGAAGTGAAATTAGTTTGATCATGATTTTTACGTTCTATTTCCATCATTTGATTTTTTTAAAGAAACCTCTGAAAAGAAAACTTGTGTATTATGTACTATTGGTTAGTTTTTTCAGAAAAAATAGTCAAGTGTTTATCATTTACAAAAGTGTATATTCATCTTGAAGTTTATTCACAGATATCTGCACTAGTTTAAAAAAACAAGAATCAGGAACTAGATACTACTGATAATTGTAGATAACGCTAGCGAGAACACCAAAATGTACCAGATTATATTAACCTAAAGACAATCGCATCAAAGAGTTGTCCAAAATAAGTTTGTTATTCAAAGCCTAAACCCAGACCGTTGCTGCTACCGTGATGTGGTGGTCGGGCTTACCTACTGTGATGAACCAGTCGCGGTATACTGGCTGGAACAATATTTCCTCGAGGTCCTAACATTCCAAGTAGATCGGTTGGAGAACGGTAAAAATAAAAGCATCAACTTAAGATCTGAGGGTAACATCGTACTGTTGACTGCATAGAGGTATAAAGGCAGTTAGATGTTTCGCTCAGACAACCAAGATAACATTGATGCTGCCTTATAAAAAGAAGGGTAGAGTTAGAAAGAGGTTACCCTGAATTTACACTCCTTGACTTCGAAGTTAGTTTGTTCGTTACACCATTCCCGTCTAACTTGATTAGGCCCTCAATAGTTTGACATAGATCAGTTAAGGATAGTGATCTGCGGATATATGGTTCAGATATAGCGAATAAAGTTGATAAGTGGCGAATTAAATATAATGCATTGCATTAAATTTAAGAATATATTGAAACAACGGTTTCAATTTGGTTATTCTGACCACTTTAGAATCGCATATCCCAACTATTAATATGTAGATTACGATTAGTCAGTCAATAAATTTCAATTAAGAAGTCTACAATTCCTGAATTGTCTCAGAGCAATAATCCTTTAATTCTTCGAATTTCCTCACGCCTTGGTTTCGCTGTCCTAAATGTTTTTACAAACTTTTTCTATGATGGCTATTATCATTATAATACTACTTCTCACTACTGTTGATGTCTCACTCATATGACTATTACAATTAAAATCGCAGATGTTGACACGGACGTTTAGACATTTAATTCGAATTTATTCTACTAGTTATTTTGTACTGAATTTGTGAAAACATCGCCGTCTTTCCTTTACGAATAAAAACTTTTTGAAATGTTGTCTTCTGTCTTCTTAAACATATATGAGTAGTCGACGCTGTAGTTTTTTAAGATAGAAGTTTCTGATCCTGGTTCGCGCATAAACATCTAGACCGACAACGTTATGCTTAGGTTTATATTTTGGAAAAGAAACTAATTCAAAAACATATGTAACGTAATACTATCAACGCATTCCTACTTTTTGCTTCTATAAGCAATGTTCTACAGGCAAAAGGTAATGTTAAACAAGCATTTGAGTGACATACCCGTTCTATTTCAAGTAGAAGAGCATCTGAACCTCCAGTCAGTTAAATAGAAGGGCACATACCCACATTTTACCGGCTGCTAACTCAGTAGGGTTGATAAGGCTCTATAATCAAAGTTGGATTACCAAGCTAATGACGTGCCTGGCTCTGAGTAAAAAACTGAAACTTCATTCCCACAAAAATGAAATCGCTGGGCTGGCTATTCTTATAAACTACCATGAATACTAAAAGTTGGTAGCATTGCATACAGCTTCCCTCAGTTAATAGAGATAGTTAGTAATTTTAGAATAAAAAATATTGATGAATAACATATATCCTTGGTATTCTGTGACAAATATACCTGGAAGTAGATGATAAAACTTGTTTATAAGCATATGCGTATATATATAGCTTTAGATGTATGAAATTTTAAACAAACATGTATTGTTTTCATTTACGTTTAGAATGTACATATTTTTATAAAATTTCAAAAAGATCATGTGTAACATAATGCTACTCACTAAATACAAAGGTATTTATATCCTTTTGTGAGGGAATTCCCAATAAGGTCAAAGTTCATATTTGCGAAAACAGAAGTACGTCTTAACAATGACCAAAGCAAAAAGATTTGATGTAACAAAACAAGATAAATTGATTAAGCTACTACAGTAAAAAAACTTTAATGTCACAAGATAATTGTCATAAGACGTTTCATGTTGAATTAATTATATCGAGTTTCCGTTATTGGTAATTCTTTTATTAAATACAGTACATGTGGATACTCATTGAATTTTTTAACTGCTCATGTGCTACACAGCAGTCAGTTCCTCAAACGCTCTCCAAAAGCTACAAGGAACCTACTATAATCAAGAAACGCAGTCCTCGCATACTAAGCCGCAATAGGCACTGTTGGGCAGAACACAAACGAACTGACAACAACTGAGCGTACATGCAATACAGACACGTAAGGAACATATGCACGAAGGCTATAAGAGAAGACAGGCTTCAGTACCAGACAAAGCTTATGGATAAATTTGTCTCTAATCCGAAAAGTTTATTCCGTTATGCAGCCTCTCTTCGTTAAGCCAAAACTGGATTTTCTCAACTGCTAGGTCCTAACGACGGCGACGCTGCTAACCTTTTGGCTGAACGGTACTCTCGGGCATTTCAACCCACCCACATCAAATATACTGATGAAAGCTTCATCTGCAACTCCAAAGGACTTTCCGTAGTGAACCTAAGCACGGACTTGGTGTTCCGGATGCTGCATCACCTAAGAAAAGACACGTTTCCTGGCCGAGATATAGTATATTCTGCTATACTGAGGGAGGCAGCCTCAATCCTGGCAATGCCGCTTAGCGTGATGTTCTCACACTCGCTAAGTCGAGGAAAAGTACCGGAAAATTGGAAGCTGGCTCACATCATACCAACTTTCAAAGGAGGTCGACGCAATGGAACTTCAAGTTACCGGCCGGTGGCTCTTCTCTCTATGCCTTCAAAACTCATGGAGTCCCTGATATGCGATGGTATGCATGACTATTTACTTTCCTTACATTTCTTCTCACCCCAACAGCATGGTTTCAGGAAAGGTAAATCCTATGTGACCGACCTGCTGACTGCGGTGGACAGATGGACAAGCATCACTGATCGGATGGTAACAGTGAAGCGCATTTTTGGCCAGTTTGACGGAATAACTTTCCATATAATCTTCAACAGTTTTATCCGTCCCCATTTAGAGTACGGGGATATAGTATTTCCTCCCTCACTCTAAAAGAATAAATACACTCTGGATCGTATCCAACAGCGAGCCACGAAATCAGTTCGAGGACTCAAATTCAAACCTTATGAAGAGCACCTCCAATCACTTAACCTATACCCATTAGATTATAGGCGTCTTAGAGGTGACTTTCTGATGACTTACAGTATCATTAACACTTCTAGACATCCCCTTAAACACCTACTTAAGCTTGGTTCTAACACTAACCTAAGGAATAACACCCAAAAACTGGAGACACAACATAGCAGAACGGACTGTAGACACAACCTCTACTCCTTAAGAGTTGTCAAATGCTGGAATTCACTGCCGGCCGAGCTAGTCCAAGCGATTTCCCAGGATTTCTCTAAGGTGCAAATTGTTCTATTCTTAAGGATTACGGATAGTATATTACTTTGATCTACCTGTTTCTTCTTCCTCTTTTATCGTTAACATACGTCGGTTCCTGCCTGGAGTTATTCGTGATCTCCACTACTAGACACGGAGACCTGTTAATCGAAAGCTTCTTCTATTCCGTCCACAAACATTTGAACCATTTGAAGTTTCTTTTGGAGCAGTTTGGAGGTCCAGTGTCCTGTTTTAACACTGGAAGTTATTGTTACTCAATTGATTCAACTTCATTTTGAAAACGTTGATAAATGGAGCTTCAATGACGTGTTGGTGCAATGAGTTTCATTTGTTGGTGAATGTGGGAAATTCGATAGTCAGCTAACAAGTAATTCGTTCTGTGTTTGCAAATACTTTTATAGCGTCTTCGTAAATTCTGTGCTTTTGAGGACGAGAAAAGTGAGGGCATATCAGATGCCAATTAATCACTAAGTAATTTTAAAATTGACCAAGTTGATTTTGGTTCTATATTAACTCCAGTGTCGGTTGCCATGTGAAGCCCACATAGTTTATTACAGCTTTGAGAAAAAACAGTTTGTTCATTCTTGATCCACATTTTGAACTTGGTAATCATTCACTTGTCTACCCTGACTGTTTTTATTTGAGCGCATGTGTGTTCACCTTTAATCATTCCCATTAATCACATGTCTATAAGCTGACTGTAAATGATGACTAACTCTTGATTAAATCAGGTGGCTCACGAGCCTACTCCTTCGCATCTTATTTCACTTTGCTTTCTTCTCTTCGCTTCATTCCTCTAACTGTCTGTCCAGATCATTGCCTGTACAAAATCTATGTTTTCAAACATCCATTCTCATATATTAGTTATTAAGTTGCGTCATTCACTAACATGATTTAAGTCGATGAGTATGTAGAATTATGGTCTACTATGATATTAGTATTGCTCTAATAATAGACCTAATCCTAAATTTGTAGATTTGTCATGATATAACTGCCTAATCTGTAAGACCTTACGTGGAAGTCACACCATCTACTAAACCAACTCACTGTATCGTATCAATTACCAATACATGATGTAGAACAAGGTTAGGCTAGAGAAGGAACAATATATTTAATATGAATAGAAGATATAAGGTAACCTTCAGCAGAGACCACGCCTGCGTGGCCGAGCCATGCCACTCGATCAACTCCAGTCCATTCAATTCATTGTTCGCGCCTTCTCCATTGTTAGGTATTTATCCGCGTTAAATATTGAATATCTATTTTGAGTAGTCTCGTGTTCAGCTTTGTGGATTGTGCGGTTATTGTTCAATGCCACTACAAGTATACACAAGGAAGGAGTACCGAATTAAGTTAATTGATAGAATCATTTCATCTCTGTCAACAAGAAAAAGTCATTGCCCAAAGTGTCTTATTTTAAAAACCTAACGAGCATCGTTGACAACATAGCAAACTTTTTAATAAAGCAAATATACCACTATCGATTTAGAACTTGCCATGCAACCAAGGATTTTACGAATTTCAGTAGTCATATCTTGCTGACTCCAAAGTTTACTGTTTTTTCAGTCTTACTGCATGATATAGTAGTAAGTGGTAAAAAATTAAAAATACGAACATGATATAGAGGCGTACAAAAGTTCTGTCAAAGAATTAAATGTATGTATAAAAAGAGTTAAGTAGTGTCTCCAACAGGCACATTCATTAACTCTCATAACAGTTTATACAAAAGACCCGTAATATATAAAGTTGTCTAGTCGTCAAAAACATGGACCGGTCACTTGTCAAACGAAAGGTATTTTCTACTAAGGAAGGATCGAGGTGCAGTTTAAAGAAGGAAACAGGCGAAGTATCCGAAACACCTGGAAATACACATATGCTTTGACTGGCGAAATACTGAAACTCGCTTCAGTTGAGTTTATCAGAAATTTGATTATGGATGAAGAATTCAGTATGGCAACCTGGAGGACAGTACGTGACAATTAATATGACTGCAACTACACAGATATATACATATATATATATATTATTACGTACGCTTTGACAGTGCATTCTCAGGAGTTACAATTCAGGTCATATATTTCTCGACACATCGACCATCCTCAGAATATAGCTTCAAAACATTTTATTGCTGAGCTCTAGTTTTATTGGCTTTAGGATAATCGATAACCAATGTTAATAACAAAAACGATATCAAGTACTGAATATTCGTGATATCTTCAAAATATAAGAAATGAAAACTACTTGCCTAAGTTTTACGATCTAGTTTGTGGTATTCCTCAATAAATAAACGGTTATATATTGAAGCTACAGGCGAGACTGTTTCGCCAATATATATTTGGCCAAAAGTCCTAATAAATGTAATGAAATTGTAATAGGTCAACAAATTAAGAATATTATGGAAGGGTACAATTACATTCAACGTTGAAGTGATTAAAAAACCCATGAAGTAAACTAGTTCATGCATTAAATATTATTATTGTCCTTATTCAATACATTTTTGGTACAATGCAGAATTCTCAGCACAAAATATTTCAACAAGTTTCCTTTCCTTATTTCTTGATCTACACTGACGATAAATATTGAGTGATCACCAACTAAATGTTAGCATTTCAGGAACTGTTATTTGAATAATGTACATTCTTTTCTATGCATATTGCCGCAATCGCGATATTTCTGATTCACCTTTCTGTAACTTATGCAACAAAATGTCTTAAACGTTTCACAAACGCTCCTCTATAGGTTAGGCGACTAATGATCATAACGATGCGTTAAAACAAATAAGAAAACAGATAACTTCTTGAAAATATCCAGATGATAGGAACAGGTAGCTCAAGTGTAGCGGTAAATAAATCCCCAAAACAAATAGCTCTGTAGGTCTTCGATATTGGATGCTGACCACATTAGTTTTAATGGACTCACCTAGCTGAAGGCGCTCGGTCATGCCTCCGCACCAATTCACGAGTTGGAACGCCGTGCTCAACAACCCATGCAATCGCTAGCCAGATTACATCAGACGATCCTCGATATATCGATAGCCTATCAAATATATCTTCGGACCTCCCCGCTTCTGTCTTTTAATTTCACTTGGTGAGTACGATTCATATTAGGTGTTACTGGTTAAAGTGTTGTCAAACTCCGAATACCTGTGGCATCTTCACAAGTATTTTATGCTTTATTTCAATTTTCAAGGCACAAAAATAGATTTCATCGTTTCGAAAACTGATATCTATTGTTGACTGATACTTTTTGCAATAATACAAACCAGATACCAAATAATGTTAATCATAAAAAGTCATCATCTAACACTTAACCTGTTAGAAATCAGTAAAGCAAACGAAAAAATTAAAGTGTAAAGAATCATTTGAAATTGGGCAGTAATATAACAGAAGAAATTTAAGAACAATCAACAGTTCATTATGAGAAACTATAACTATTAGGAAATCAGAATATGATGATAATTATTCATCTATTTGTTATGATTTTATGTCCG